CTAATATGTAGGAAAAAATTTGTTAGTGCGAGATTCGAACTCGTACAGAATTAAAAGAGATTGTTTGCAACTTAATATTTTAGTGCCTGTGATACATCACTTTCGTAAGAGGAGTTTAATTCAGTGTTGACACTTATTGAGTAAAATTTTCGCATTTTTAACAATTTTGTTTCAAAAAGAAGTAGAGAGTTACTCTTTATTACTTCCTGATGTTATTTTAAAAGTCCTTCTTTACATATAAATGAAATTTGATCAAAAAGTTTGAAGCATATTTTCTAGGTTCCCGTTGTAAGGTGATATATTTATCTGCGTAAAACATGGTTGTTTTCTTTTCACTATAAAAACGTTCGTTATGAGTGGGACTTTATTTTGTTTTAAACGAAACGTGTTGTTACAATTTTGGAGGTACTCAAGTACAACAACGAAACAAACACCGGCTGTATATTGCTTGGAACTAGTTAGGTATATCATGATCAATAATAACAAATGAAGTTATTAAAAATTATGATTACTGTAAACGTTTGAAGCAAATGTTTTCCATTATTTGATTTTTAATACTGTTTATTATTAAGAAGACAAATTAAATTATTATTATGATATAAAGTAACAAACAAATAAAAAGGTATATTAGATTGTATTGTATAAAAATTTGTGGAAAAGTAAAATGTTTCAAACTGTGGAAAAATGCTTAAATAAATAAAGCAGTAATTACATTTTAAAACCTTATTTCTTACCTCTTGTATTATTACCATTTTCTAGAAAACATGATTATGAAAATTTTTTATGCACATTATTATTACCACATGAAACTAGAGCAGTTGCATTTCCAATTCGTGCATTTAATGTTGAAGTGGCTCAAGTAAAAGATCAAGTAAGTGATTATAAAATAGGAGAAATGAGATTAAAATTTTGGGAAGATGCATTAAATAATACATACAAAAAAAATCCTCCTAAAAGTCCTGTTATGTTGGCATTGTATAAGGTATAATTTAATTTCTTATTTACTTTTCCAATTTTGAATAGTTTTAACATGGTTTTGTAGTATTGAAAACTTTAATATTATTAATAAGATTCCTTATAGATTTTGCAGAAGCATTCTCTTTCTAAACATTATTTTAAACGATTAATTGATATAAGGTTTGAAAAACTTCATGATTATTCATTTAATGATATAACTGCAATAGAAAGGTATGCAGAATATAGTAATTCTTCCATCTATTATCTTTTATTGGAAGCACATGGTGTAACTAACATTAATGCAGATCATGCTGCAAGTCACATGGGCAAGGCACATGGAATTATTAATTTAATACGATCAGTTCCTTATAATGCTAGCAAAAGAATTAACATGTTACCACAAGATATTTTAATGAAACATGGTGTTTCTACTGAAGCAGTATTGCAAGGTCAATCAAGTAAAGAACTTCAAAATGTGATATATGATGTAGCTTCTTATGGGAAACTACATTTAGATGCTGTAAGTAATAAATAAAAATATTGTACTTAGTTTTTTACATTTTAATGCAGAAGATTTTCTATTTTTAGGCCATTTCTCTCAAAAGTAATGTGGGAAAAAAAGCAAATTTGATCTTTTTACCAATAATTTGTCTACAAAAGTATTTAGAAGAACTGAGAAGAGTAGACTTCAATATCTTTGATGCAAAATTATATAGGAAAGATAATTTACTCCCCTTATATTTGTTTTTGAAAAGTTGGATGTTTTAAATTTATTTATATTT